ATTTGAAAAAAATAAACCTTTAAAGATTATTTACGATTAATTATTGTTGCCAAGTTATCTCGTTGTTGCTTGTTTACAGTGCTTTGTTATATAAAGCAGTTTGTTAGATCGCGATCTATCTAATTTGTTTGTCTAAAGAAGTGCCGACAGATGTATGAAAGTACACAAGTTACACTGTAATTTAAACGCGGCAGACTTTAATGTACAGTAAAATAAAGGCAGAATACCGTATAACTCCAGGCTGGCACAGTAATATTGACGAACGTCTAAACAAATGTATAGCACCGTAACTTAATTTGAGCGTTCTAAAACGAAGTCAAAGAGCGGTAACTGATGATACTGTGTTCTGCCTTGGTTTCTCCAGGGCTTTTCTCCAAGATACTTATACACATGATAAAGGAGGTCATATATGTCCCAAAATGATCAATAACTCATTTTTGACCGAAAACGAAGTTATGGTGTTTTGTCTTTGCATGGCAGCACTGCTGTCACTATAGACGGGCGTGGTTTCAGCAACCAGGCACCTCAGCTTCACCCACGTCCCGCTTTTTTGCCCATTTTCTATTATCTGGGAGTGACGCACTGCCAAGATGGCGACGGTCAGTTCCGCCCACTTTAGGCTTCAAAAATGCACTTCGGAAAACTACGAGTGACGTCACGGACACTACGTCCATGTTTTTTTACAGTCTATGGTCTGGCTATGCGAGACTAATGTTAACCTGATGTTGTGCTTTTTGCCCTCTAGGGGATGCTGTTGACTTTCTGTCCTGGTTTCTCAATGCATTGCATGGTGCTCTTGGTGGGACAAAGAAGAAAACTTGTGAGTTTTGTTTTGATGTAGATTTTTAAGAGGTGTGTGTTTGTGTGCTAGTTCACGTTCTGAGGTGTATCTTCATAAGTACAGGATGAAATCGGCTCAGTTGGCGTTTTTTTTTTTTTTTTTTTACAGCCAAAGAAGAAAACTTGTGAGTTTTGTTTTGATGTAGATTTTTAAGAGGTGTGTGTTTGTGTGCTAGTTCACGTTCTGAGGTGTATCTTCATAAGTACAGGATGAAATCGGCTCAGTTGGCGTTTTTTTTTTTTTTTTTACAGCCATCATCACCAAGGTGTTTCAGGGGTCCATGCGAATCTTCTCAAAGAAGCTTCCTCATCCAGATTTGGTATGTGTTTCTTACATTAATAACTGTCTGATTTGTGCTTAAACCATTTAAGCAGTTTAGAAAGCCTTTCTTTGTTATTTTTTGGGATTGACAGCACCGTAGGAACAGTGACACTTGTGCTAGCATCCAAAAAATCAGTATTTTGAGAAATGCTATAAGTTTACGTGCTTGTTTCTTACAGCCTGCAGAAGAGAAAGAAGCCCTTCTGCTTAAGGACGAGTACCAGGAGAAGATGTCTGAGTCCACCTTCCTGTACCTGACGCTGGATCTGCCCACCGCACCTCTCTACAAAGATGAGAAGGAGCAGCTCATCATTCCTCAGGTTCCTCTCTTCAACATCCTGGCCAAGTTCAACGGAAACAATGAGAAGGTGTGAATTCATTTTCACATTCTTTTTTTTTTTTGGTTTGCTTGTATAATATAATTTGTTAGGTTATTTATTTTCTTTATCCACTCAACATTTTGAATGGCACATGTACTTTTTTGTAGATATTGGTTATGCTAATTAAAGTCTTTTCATGTAAAATGTTATATACTTATTTTTATTTGTGTAAAATAATATGCATTATATTATTTAATAAATGATTACCTTTGACTTTGTCACAGGAGTACAAGACATACAAAGAGAACTTTCTGAAAAGGTTCCAGCTCACCAAACTTCCTCCGTACCTCGTCTTCTGCATCAAGCGATTCACAAAGAACAACTTCTTTGTGGAGAAGAACCCAACTATTGTCAACTTCCCTATCACGTATGTGACCACCAGTGCTAAGGATAAATAAATTCACTCTTTTAGACATTTCTATATTCTCTGTAAATGTATTTTGAAATATTTTTGCTGTGAAAACATTCATGCACAATAGGAATGTTGATTTGCGCGAGTACCTGACAGAAGAGGCGCAGGCCACAGAGAAGATCACCACCTACGACCTGGTGGCCAATATAGTTCACGATGGAAAACCCACCGAAGGGTCCTACAGGATTCATGTTCTGCATCATGTGAGTATGTCACCAGCACTTGATTCCATTCAGAGCGTGGCAGTACTGTTATTGGGATGGTTTGTATAATGTGGGTGGTTTGTGATGTTTGACAGGGCACAGGGAAGTGGTACGAGCTTCAGGACCTGCAGGTGATTGATATCCTTCCACAGATGATCACGCTCTCAGAGGCGTACATTCAGGTTTGCTGCTCATTACTCACATTTGTCATTCGCTAAGTTGATGAAGGGTGGCTGAGAGTGATGTCTATCAATAAGTGGGTATTACATGAAAATTGTAGTTTTGTTGGCAGAAACCTGATTTGGTTTGCTAGCTTTTGATGTTTTGGTCATGCAGCAGCTGCAAGACCCATGATTCACAAGTCATCCTTCACGTGCAAAAAAGCCCAATGAAAAATTAGCTTCCTTTTAAACACAAGACTCCTTTTTTGTTATTTTCAGCACTGGTCGATTATCAGAAGTACTGGTTCCCTCTTTCTTCTTGACTCTATTTTTATGCATTTTGAGGAAATATTTTAACTGAAGTACTGTTGTGGACCTAATCTTATTAAATCATATGGGTACTGTAGTTGTTGCTATCCAAAATTGTTTTATTTATCTATGTATCACAGGGTTTCTACAGGTTTAATGAAGGTAAATTAAAAAATTTAAGACCTTAAGACCTTTTTTTAAAGAAAGGAATCAATTGAAGGAAACTCAATACTTAAATATGTTTTTTAAATGCAGATGTCTACACAGTGAAGTAGCATTAGCAACACTTCAGGTTTGAAGACACCTTCCAACCAGTGTTATTTTAGTCACTGAGATACTGTTAATATTTTTTTTTAATTAGTTTTTAATTCATATTTGAGATGTTTATATTTTGAGTTTTTTAATTAAAGTTAATTTTGTGTTTTTTTGTAATTTTTACATATGTAAAAATATATGTATTATGTAATATGTATATTATTAAATATGTACATTTTGGTAAATATATAGTTTTTATTAATTTACTTTTTTACTACATCATTAAACTAAATGAACATTTTATGGCAGTGGCTATTTGCACTAGCAATGGATTCTATTTACACTAATTGAAAATAGCAGTATTTTTTAGCGATATGATATTTACACTAAGTGCAAATAGCTATAGATTCTATTCACACTGTTAAAATGGCAGGATGTTCTGCTATTTCTACTACTTATTGCAAATAGTGGCAATTATCTGCACCTCAGTATTGTAGTACATTATAAAACAGAACAAAGAAATAATGCATTGAATGTAAATTATAATTTCAATTCAAATTATTAAATGGATGCCACCTCATTGGGACAATAAAGCCCTCCCTACACCTACCCTAACCCTACCCAATACTTTATTTTCAACTTTTTATTTACATAATTTTTATTGAAAATAAATGCCTTCCCGATGTGATATGAGATTTGGAACGGGAGACAAAAAGTGGATTCGAACTTGGGTCGGTTGCATCAAAAAGCATGTGCTTTACCATCTTTGCCACTGGAGCTGTTGTTGGATGATTGTCTTTTATAGTGTTGAATAGCCCAATCACACATTGGTGGGCGGAGTTAGTGTAAATCGCCTCTGCCAACAAGGCAGGATATTTGCACTTAGTGTAAATAGACACTATGAAATTTGATTGGAAAACAAGACCAAAATACAGAGGAAGGATATTTAATTTTTTACGGTGCATGCAACATTTAATGTCATGACTTTATGAATTTAAGACTTTCTGCTCCGATTAAAGACATTTTCAAAGCCTTGATTTGTGGAAAGGTAAATAAAGACTTTTTAAGAGCGGCAGAAACCCTGTATTATGTCTTAAAGATCTCCTAAATCATAGAAAGTTGAAGTTTTTGAGGCATCATCACCCAGCCTTATTTCACCAGATTCTTCTTTTTTAGATTTGGAAGAGACAAGATAAAGACGAGGGAGCAGAAAGCCATACAGGGGCATAGGAGGCCCAAAAACACAGCATCGGTAAGATGTAAATGAAATGAGTAATTTCTGTTAAGGCCTGAATGCACACCAAGGCTTTAAGAATGAAGAGACTGAGTTACAATGAGAGAAGACATTAAATGAAAACCCTGATGTGTTCAATTTCATGTAACTGTGCTAAAAAGTCTGTAAGGTGAACATAACACATTTCTGTGTTCCGCTGTGACCTTTTTTTTTTATTATTTCAGTTTGATTGCGACTGTTCCTTTGCCTGTGATGTTTGGTAGTTTGTAGGATGAGACCTTTTATTAAAGTTTTTAAGACAATATACACTGTCTTTCATTCAGCTCTTTAGAAAACATGTATTGTGAATAATAAGCTAGACTGAAGCCTCCAAAATTAAAGTAGAACATATCTGATGTTGCGTTTGTTCTAGAGTTGTTCTAAATTGAAATTCAATGGAAATTGAAAAGAAACATGTATGGTTTTGTTGGTGAAATGAATAGAATTCATCTGATATTCTGTATCAGATGAATTCTGGTATTATACCTTTTTTTTGAGAGATTTGTTAAATGTTTTCAGGTATATTAGAGAAGATTATTAAGGCCTTCATTTGAATTGACAAACAGAAATGTCATTCCGTTTTCTCTCAATCAGCTGCGTACAATGCCTCAAAATATTAATCTGTACAGTTTATTTCTTGTCATTTTAACACCAATGTGAGGAAATAATTATTTTATATAATCTTACACTAAATGCAAGCTACTTTAGGATTTCCTATGTTAAGTTGACTAGTTTAATGTTTACTCGGTGAGGTTCAGAGTATGGAAATACAGATAAACATAATAACATAATTGATAGGAAGTAGTTAAGTACAGGTACATTAAATACAAATTGGCACATGAAGGTTATTTGAAACTGATTGAACAGTCATTGTCTCCACATTTACTGTATGTCTCAAATTTCACTTGATTTTATGTGTGGCAAGGGGAGTGGATAGAAAAAGCTTGGTTAAGTACAGTAAAAAGTTGTTGCTTTTCTGATCTGAGTCTTGCTCGAACGATCACTTTCATTTGGGTCCCTTGCAAAGGTAATCTTCCTGTTGATAACACAAAAAAGTTACTCATGTCTGAATCTCTCCAGTCCTCCTAGAACACATGAAGTGTTCAACAGCCCCAAAGTAAAGTTAATTAAAATGAGAGTTATTACCTCACATGCAGTAAGGGCTGGTTGTTTCCCATCGCTCTTCAGGAGCCTGTGGCCATGCAGCTTCACGAACCCTTCACACTAGGAGAGAACAAGGAGAAACACTCCAAAGAGTCAGACCATTGCATTTTATTGTACATCACTGCAGGAGATTGTGTCAGATAGTCTTTGAGTACTTCACATGTGTCAATTCAAATACTGAAAGAGCTTTCAATATATCCTTCATTGCTCAAATCATATAGATATTTAAAAGAATTTGGTCCCACTTCACGTGTCTCTAACTGTGTGCTAACATTAAAATTAATAATTTAATACAATGCATCGTGTACATGCATTTTTCACATTGTACTTAGTTTTAAAATGCCTCTATGTAATTGCATATGCAACTACATATGTAGTTTCTGTAATTACATCTATAATTACATTGTTGACCTAACCTGATAGTGACAAAAGTGTTTTGCAATACAATATAAACATTAGTGCATTCTACCAAACAGTTTTATGTAAGTGCATAGTACTATACAGTGAGAACAAGGATTTTTATAATGTATTGTGGTTGTGTACTCGAGGAATAGCATTAGGGTGGAGGTGGCACATCTTCTGGAGCAGGTCAGAGGTCTGGATCTCAGTGGCATTGTGACCCAAATGAAACCGGGAGAGGACTGCAAGTATCTTACAGGACTCGCAGTCTGATACTAGAGAGGACAGACACATAAAATTCATATTAAGAATCATCTCAGAGTAATTTACACACAGAAAGAATGATTCTCCAATTAATTCTGGTGTGAGAAAAACTTTTCCACAGCAAGCACCAAGTCAGAATACCATTCAAATTCAGTACCACCTATAGTCACATTGAGTGTTTTGCTCTTTGTATTTTTTGTCATCAGCACAGTCTGTTAATGTCCATGCACACAGTAGCTGCATGCAGCCTGATTTGTGTGTCCATGTGAACAAAACGGCAAAGTCCCTTTAAGGAAAGTCATTTTACTTGACAGCCATCTTTGAAACACCACTAAGGCTGATGATATGGGGCAACTTTGGTTAATGTTGCCGTCAACAGGCAACCAGGTGAAACACAGGGCCCACGACTGATCTAAAGTATCCAGATTGAAATTTGTTACCCATTCTCGATGGGAAAGTGCCCAAGAAACATTGTTCAAAAAAAGTTGCCCAGCAAAATTGCTCAAAAAGTTGCCCCGTGTATCATTAGCCTAAGGCAGCTATTTCATGCAAGCTCCTATCTCTTTGAATAGAGAAACCAAATCAAAACCAAAAATTCTCCAAAGCTGTTCTCCAAGCTTACGATTAAATTTCATGTTTGAAATCAATAGGGAAATATGACAACTGCATCACAAATGTTGTTTTTAATGCTCAAATAGCATTTTAAAAAGTTAAATTCTGATTGTTTCTACAACAACCGGAGCTTCTAACACAGCTGCAGTGACGCGATGACTTTACTAATAAGCGATTGGCTCTTTTATTCAGAAGGCGGAACTATTCTGCCATATTGTGCTTTGCACTTTCTCCCATTCATTCAAGTAACAGAAGTGCACTGTCTTCGAATATCTAAAGTCTTTGACAACAGCGTGTGTGCAAATAATGTGAAAGCTATTTTTTTTAAAAAGTAGGTTATATTTTGCAAATTGTATTTTGAATTTTGCACGCCATTGCTTTGTATTTTAAGGTTAACGGAAATGTAATTCCATAAAATTAATAGATTATATCCTGGCAACAAATTATCAGTAGGCTACTTTTTTTTTTTTTTTTTTACAGTGCATGTGCAAGTGATTTGCCTAATTGAAAAGAAAGATCCAATAAGTATGCAAAAAATTAAAAGATAAAATTAGGTAATATTTTGTAAACATCCAGATTTGTATTGATTGCCAAAGTTTACATTTTTTTTTCTGCAATAAGACTGCTCATTAAACATCCCAATCTAACGAGAAACGATGTGATATGATACATTTGAAAACATGCAATTTTTAGAAAAAAATAAATAAAAATCAAGCATGAAGCTCCACCCCCTAAACCTAACTGCAATGAAGTCTAGGCAGAAACCATATGAATGTGATTGCACAAATTCATATGAATTGACCACAATGTAACATTTTTATAAATTGCCTTAAGATTTACATTGATTCGGCAGATGCTTCTATCCTAAGCGAATTCAAGGTGCACATTTTTATTTCAAATTTCAGTTCTTGCTTTTCTTGAGAATCGCAACCATGACCTTGGCATTGCTTGTGCCATGCTGTACAGTTCTGTTTGAACAGGAAGAAAGATCGCATTACTCTGCTGTCACTCATGCTACTCACATGACAGTGGTGTCTCTGGGAAAAGACACAGGCCCAGCGCAGTACAGATGGCATGTGGAGGGAGGGAGGACAACAGCAGATCAATCAGCTGCTTCCCGTACGTTTCTATGAAGTTGTTACATGTGTCCTTATATTGTGAAGGCAAATAGTCACAGATTTTCTCCAGAAGGTTCACTATAGCCTCCTACAAGTCAAACAAGCAAAATGGAAAAGAACCCAGGAGCAGTTTATATTCAGGCATTTTGGGGATTAATAAAATTATGAATATTTTACACTTCTTAAAATGTGAACGAGATTTCCAACAGAAGAGTACTTACTTCAGTTCTCTCTTTAGGCAACATGCTCTCTATTGTCTTTATGAAGAAAATACAGAAGTTACAGATGGGATTGACTTGAACCTAAGAAAAAGAGAAGTAGTAGAGCTTGAGAGTCATGGCAATCTTATTAAATGTGAGACCTTTTTGGAGTATTTACAGTACCAGTCCATTATTAAATAAGTCATATATTGGTATAGCACTTTTACACAATACACATTGTTTCAAAGCAGTTTGTTTTACCTTAATGACTTAAAGGGTTAGTTCATCCAGAAATGAAAATTAGCTCATAAATTACTCACCCTCAAGTCATCCTAGGTGTATATGACTTTCTTATTTCAGACGAATCCAGTCAGAGTTATATAAAAAATTGTCTTTGGTCTTTCAAGCTGTTTAATGCCACTCAGCGGGTATTGCATGCATCAGTCCAAAAACAGTTAAATAAAATGCGCCCATCCATAAAAAAAGTGTCTCACACGGCTCCGGGGGGTGAACAAAGGCCTTCTGTAGTGAATCGATGTGTTTTTGTAAGAAAAATATCCATATTCAAAACGTAATAATCACTTTAATGTAGCTTGCACCAACAGTTGTACACGGAAGCAGCTCCGGGCTGATGACGTACGAGGTCAGCTCTGCGCATGCGCTTGTGAGCCTCGTGAAAACCAACGTTTGTTTACAGGAGCAAAGGAAGCAAAGTTTCCTTACTTTAGCAAAGGAAAACCAGTCTCCTCTTGGCTTATATCGAAATCCTCTGACATTCTTCTTTACAAATCCTCGTTTTGTACTTCTAATTAGTGACCGCTGTTTTGTTTTGATCTCTCCTCTGTGTTTCTGCATGCGTCACTTCTGAGCGGCGCATGCGCAAAGCTGAACTCATACGTCATCCGCCCGGAGCTGCTTCCGTGTACAACAGTGAGCACAAGCTACATTAAAGTGATTATTACGTTTTGAATATGGATATTGTTCTTACAAAAACGCATAGATTCTCTACTAATTTATGGGCTAATTTCCATTTTTGGGTGAACTAACCCTTTAAGCTCTAACCTGCTATAAATAGCAGTTTAGAGCTGAGCGATAGAATAGTTTACTGTTAGCGATGATATAAATGACCAACCAGATGAGATCTGCTATAGTAGTTATCGCCTTTCATTTGAGTGTACGGTATGTATGTGGGTAAAATTGGTTATACATGTAATACATTTTTTTTCGCAGTAATATTGAGTATAATGACATTTGCATGGTTTTGTTTTCAATTAATAACATTTGGTGTAGTGACAAACATATTTCAGATAGAAGTACTATACACTCTTAAAATAAACGCTTTTCAGAGCTGGGTAAGGATTGCATGTAATCTGGATTACGTAATTAGATTCCAAAAATCAAGTACTCATAACAGTATATTATATTTTATAATGCTCATAATCAGATTACAGTTACTTGTTATGGATTACATGATTACATATTATTCCCACAATGGCAGTAAATCATTCATAATTTATTGATTCTCCATTTTCTCTTTGGAAATTTCCTCTGTAAAGATCCTACTGTGTCATACCATTTAGCGTTGACTATACTCATAATATAGAATTATCATGTAAATAATTTTGCAATACATTGCTTCCTCTTAAGCAACTGGACTGTGTGTGTGAAACAAATAATTATGCAAGTAAAACACTGGTGATGTATAGCTGTGAAACAATATGTCTTCATATGCAGTAACCTTCAGTAACTGTTGATTCTGGACAACAAGATTTCAAACCTGAAATACTTTGGGCATCTAATGTCATTGTTTTCATGTTTATTAATGTTTGTTAATGTTATTCGGGGATTCCCAAATGATTTTTGTCAGCTAAACCCCTCTGACTTGAAATATTAACTTGAAATATCTCTGAGGAAGTTAATATTTCAAATTAACAACACATTTGCATTGTTTGCAGTTGGAGGGTGCTTAATGGTCACACTGACATGCAGGTAATACAAATTAAATATTTATATTTTTATTGTTCAAGTGTTAAAATTATTTACTTTACATTTTTATGATCTAATCAATCATGAGCTTTTTATTTACTCACAAACCCACTGCCGTTCTTACAGCCCAGTTTGGCAAACCCTGGTTTAATGGAATGTTTAATGCATTTTATGATGCTGATATAAAAACAATTTAATGTATATTATTTCTCGGTCCCACTTTATATTAGGTGGCCTTAAATACTATGTACTTACATTTAAATTAATCATTTGGTACAATGCACTTATTGTGTACATACATGTTTTTACATTGTACTTATATTTTTAAAAATACCTATATGTAATTACATCTGTAATTAATTTCTGTAATTACATTTATAATTCCCATCCCTTACACCTTAATTTAATAATTAATAATAATAATTTACGCATTTAACAGACGCAAAGCAACTAACAGTGCATTCAGGCTATACATTTTTTACCAGTATGTGTGTTCCCTGGGAATTGAACCCACGACCTTTTGCTCTGCTAACGCAATGCTCTACCACTGAGCCACAGGGACACTTAACCTTAACCCACCCTTAAACCTACCCTTACCACCAAACCTATCCCTAACCTTACCCGTATCCCACCTCAATGCAAAAGTGTTTTGCAATACAATATGAACACAATAAGTACATTGTACTTATTTTTTGATGTAAGTACATAGTAGTTAAGGCCACCTAATATAAAGTGTGACCTATTTCTCTTTGTTTTTTATATCAATATGGTATGTTTAATGGTAGGTTTAAAACAAGTTAAATAAAAAATTATCTAAAAGTAACTTAAAAGTAGTCAGAAAAAATGACCTAAAATGAGTAACCTGGATTACGTTACTAACTACAGTTTTCATCATGTAATCTGTAACCAGTGATGGACTACAATTTGTAAGTAATCTACTGGGCTCTGTTTATTGGCAATGATGGTTCCATGAAGAACCTTTAACATCCATGTAAACTTTCCATTGCACAAAAGGTTCTTTATAGTGGAAAAAGGTAGGCTATTTAAGATGATTAAAAAGTTCTTCAAAAATGTTCTTTTAAGAATTGCTCACTTAAAGGTTCTTTGGGAAACCAAAAGAACCTTGCTACGAAACCCCCCTTTTTAAAAGTTTAAGGTGATGTGTATCACTGCCATGTTTAAAATATTACGGTTTAAGATTTTGGTTGTATTGTCCACCCCTAAGCAGCTTCATTAAGTCAATTGACAGACATGCCATGATACTTTTATCTTTAGTCCCCAAGTGTGCAAGCAACTTAAGAAATGAAACAATCCCATTTGAAGATGGATGTTGGAAAAAAATCCTCAAAATCTTTTATACATAAACACACACACACACACACAAACTTTGACCTAACTCGTACCTCTTGACTGGTTCCTCTTGAGGGTTTTGCATAGAGCAAACCATGCTCATTCAGGCCAATGGTGAGCTCTGATGGTGCTTTTCTCTTAGACTGGCTGCCACACAGTCTCAACACTGTGCATATGTCACCATTTTGATTCTGTGATGAGGGCAAAAACATCCCGTTTTTTAGTGAATGGATTCTATTATTAATGTAAAAAAAATATATTACTCATGTTTAGATATTTTAGATATTTAGATTTAAGAAAGAAATTAAGTCAGATCTTGGATGATAAATCTCCATTGTAGTCGGATAGCACTGCTATATTCAGCCAAGTGTTTAATATAATAAATAAAACCCCTAAAATTGTTCTGGCTTCTAAAATCACCCACTGTCATGATGTTAAACTGAGAAGTACTCACTGCAAATGCACTGAAATGTCTGATGATCACATGTACGTATGTCTTTGCTCCATCCATACACAAAGGGATGACGGGGTGTTCATAACAAAACTTGTCCAGGGCTTTTTCAACGAGATGCTGTGAAAAGGGAACAATCAAGATCGTTGTACAAACAACTCCAAATCATTCGTAACAATGAGCTTAAATAATGAAATTCAGTGGAAACATCAATACAAAGCAACTTATTACAGTGACAAACACTACCTCACATGGCTTAACTGCCATTAAGAAAGCAAAACTATCTTTTTAGTTTGAAAATAATGCAACTGCAAATTTCACTACTCTAAAACAGAAAATAGATATGAATTGCCATGAGATTGTGTTGTACAGAAGGTATTTACTAGGTCTGGGCAGAAAATAAAGAAAAGGTATATTCAAACTATGGACTAAAACGACTTAAACACTGATTTACCAAAAGTGTTCAATTAAATTCAATGAATATGAATGAAATCTAAGTATTAGTAAACATCATAAACACAATTTCACCTGTGAGTCTTGATTGGAGAGGATTTCTGTCAACAACTGTACAATCTTCTTGCAATCGGTGCACATGTTCATCTAAAGAATGAGGACAGTGGAATATCATGTTGACTTACAGTCATCAAAGTTATATTTTGTGGACTATTTGATTTAATATGAATAAAACCTGACTAGATATTAAACCAAATTTCAATATGAATGCATTTCAGTGCTTAGTTTGTTGGCTGCACTGTAAAATGTGCAAAGGAATAGTGTATACCATGTGATACTGTTTCTAACATAAAACCACAACCTCTATTTTAGGGTTGTATGTGTGAAAGAGAAATCTATCTTTACTAGAAAGAAGGAAGTGTAAAATATTCTCAGATCTTCTTTTAAGTTTCACAGTTCACAGATGTTGATATGATCTATTATGAGTTGCAATTCTCTGCAACCTACCTTATATATAAGTATAGCATTCTGCAGCCTGCAACCAACCTTATACAAATAGTATTCATAAGACAGGATAATAAATGTAACATACTGACAATTTATCTACTAATGGTCCAAGTGGAGTAGAACCTGATGAAGTACTCTCAGTAGAACCCGAACCTATGTTATTGATGTGATGCTTTCCAGATTTATGTGTTATTTATTTAGATCTGGATCAAGCATGTACCTGTATGAGGAATAATGTGTAATGTTATTAGCAAGACCTTCACTGCTATTGTGCAACATAAGAAATAAAGTTAGCAGCCACTTGCAAATAATAAATAAAGATAAATGATCAGAAACAACTAGGTTCTATATAGACAAACAAACATATTTACATATATTTAAATAAGTAAATAAGACCTTTGGTAAATAATAATAATAATATTAATAATAATTGTAAATTCAGTTGATTACACCCTAGTCTAGTATGTTCAATTTGCCTTTTTTTTTCCATGGGGAAAAAACAGTATTAAGAGTAATCTCTTCAAGGTGTTGTTGACCCGAAAGCGAAAACTGGTCGTTCGTTTAAAAAAAATTAGAAATTAAAAGTCTATTAAATATAATTATATAAATTAACTTAAGACAGTGTATGCCAGTAGTTTATAATATAAACAAAAATATAGGTTATGTAATCAGGTAGTCGCAGCATTCTCAGTTTATGAACAGTGTAAACGAACTGATCCACATAGAATATTTATTTTTATCAGCATTTTACTGTACATGCAAGTTGTTGTTTTTCAATCATTGGTCACTCACCATGGAAAGGCTGGGTGTTTGTGGTTCTGTGTCTACACTTCTTGCCCATCCTACAGAGAAGCCAGAGCATGTAAAGTATTTAAATAACTAATATTTTGTAGTTTTATAGAAACAACTTGACTTTGAAACACCAGGAAATCGACTGCCTTCGAAAAATTGAAGAGCTAATTTGAGGTATATTAAAGCAAAGAAATACATTGAAGTCTATTATTTAAGTCTTAATTAAAAAAAAAAAAAAAAGATTATGCATTATAAAATGATTTAAGTATAAATTAAACCTTAATTTAACTCCTAGCTTAATCCTTTTTAGTAATATTAAGCGTTTTAATGATTCAGTTTAATTGCTATGGTCATGCAAAATATAGTCAGCTTTATTTATCATGTAAAAACTCTTACCTAAAGTCAAGGTAGAAGTGAAGAGAAAAAAAGTGATGCAGGCAAACGGCATGATGTTTTAATCAGTGCTCTGCAGTGATAAGTGCTCTTGCACTGCAGTCAATAATATACCACAAACCTCTGCGTTCAACTGATGAGCCGCCCAAATGTTTTTATAGTTTTTTGATGAGGAAGTAGCTAGTTTAATCACCAGCCAGCAACAATCTTCCTGATTCGCTAGATAGGTCTATTTGCATAGAAAGCCTTACATGACAAAAAAAAACCTTACCATTCATTGGTTATTGTTATCTAGTTATGTATGGTAAGATAGTCATAGGTTATGGGCTTTTTTTGTATTATTTACCTTGTACTAAGGGGCGCCATGCACAGAGGGAGGGGCTAATTTTGGAAGTTATTGGTAATTTTATTTTAAGGAAATATCAGTTTCCTCCAAAAGAGATTTTGCTTGAGTATCAAGACAGACACACACATGAAAGGTTATTGAACAACAATAATGTACAAAACAACAAACCCAGTACAACACTGACACCCACCGACCACACGGCGGAGATCCACCCTCGTCCTGACGAAACGTCTCAGCCTGTGGTTATCAGTGAGGGAGGCGGGAAGGAGAGAGGGAGAGCGAATCCAAAGAAAAAGAGGCAGAAAACGCAAGTAGGAAACGAGGGGTTTCGGAGGTAATTGCCTCTTTTTTTTCTCTTGTTTCTTTTGCCCCAAGTCCATCAAAGCTCAGGGAGAGCAGGTGGAGCAGGGTGAGGTGGACCAGGACACTGATGAGGACCCATCCAGGAGGTGATGGTAAATGACAAGCTTTCAACATAAAACAAGTCTCTTTATCGTTTACACACAATATAAAAAGCACCATCACAAATTATTAAAATGTAGATTGATTGCTTCTTCCCCACGTGATAAATATTATATTCACACACACACACACACACACACACACACACACACACACACACACACACGCACGCATTATTTGACCCAAAAATACAGTAAAAGCAGTAATATCTTGAAATAATTTTACTATTTAAAGTAACTGCTTTCTATTTTAATATATTAAAAAATTTAATTTATGCCTGTGATCAAAGCTGAATTTTCAGCATCATTACTCCAGTCTTAAGTGTCACATGATCCTTCAGAAATCATTCTAATATGCTGATTTGCTGAAACATTTTATTTTTATTATTATCATTATTATTATCATCAGTATTTCAAACAGTTAAGTACATTTTTTCAGGATTCTTTGATGAATAGAAAGATTTTTTTTAAAAATCAGCATTTATCTGAAAGAAAAAGCTTTTGTAACATTATAAAACGGATAGTTCCGGTCCTTGATTCTGATTGGTTG